TTTGTATAGTCTATTCCAAAATTTTTCAGTTTTCCATATATTGCTGATTTAATATGTTTTTTTGTGCTTTAACGATTTTTTTAATATTTGTTTTTGACTCCCATATTTCTATAGGTATAGGTAATCAAAATATTAACAGATTCCACAAAATCGGAATCTGTTCTTCAAGGAACCAAGCTCCAATGAAATCATAACTGCTGTCATATAGGATAAATGGCAATTGGGATTTGGTCATTTTTTACATAAACATGTAAGAGTGGTTATCAGAAAATTCCGATTACTTCCGAAGATATGCCAGAAAAACTCAAATTTGCTGATATTTGAACAGATGCACCAAAATATAAAAAAACACACTTTTTCATTGCCACTTTTTGAGCCCAACCAGACATAGTTGAGAGATTTTCAATACAACGTTTCGTTTCAGAGAAATCACTATCAACTTCAGTTTTTTATACGAACAGTAAAAAAAGTACGCACTGTATTAAGTATAATTTTTTATTACGAAATTTATCGTGCGTATCTATCGTAGAAATTTTCCATTTTCCAGGAAATTTGCCCAACAGGTATTCTCGCTCAATCAGGGCGTCGTGCGCCGGTGCACCATCCTGTTGAAATCAACAGTTTCCAATTTCTTTTTTTATGTGTGCCGTATACCGTTGTATTCGTAATAATACAGTGTGTATTTTTTTTACGGGGCATATAAAAAATAAAGTTAAAGCTGATTTCCTCAAAACGAAACATTGTATTGTTATCTCTCAACGGTTGCTTGTAGGACTCGAAAAGTGGCAAGAACAAAGTGTTTTTTTAATTTTTTTGTTCTATTCAAATAACATCATGAAAGAAATAAAAACGAAATCGGCAACTGTCGGATTTTCTGGCATATCTTGGGAAGTAATCGGAATTTTCTGGTTTTCTTTACAGCATGATAATAACTCTTTAATTGCGCAACTTTTCCGTAATTTAAACATCTTCGTATCTTCTATGGTTTCCCAGATCCCCATGATAGACATCCTTATCTTGAACACATAGTGCACATTTGAGTAATAATCCATAAGTAAATTTAAGTGCAAGTGTAGAATAATTCTTCAAAATTTCGACTGTCGGATTCTTTACCTTGCCTCTTTAAAGAAAACGCACATTGCGTAGATTTGAGACATTACATTTTAGGGATTTATTAAACATTTTGCCCGCAAACCAAACGAACGAGCATTACCGTGTGTGCGAAGAAGACGTTCCCCATGGATGTAAAGTCAATCCTCCTTGGTTTTTCTTTATTTTTAAATTAAAACGAATTTGGTTGAATCACGCTGTCCTAAACGTTTTTGGGCGCTGAAATCGCTCATAAATCTTGTGAAATCATGTATAATAATTTTTAATTAGGACACCTTATTACTTCATTGTCTACGAATTTGGCTGCTATAATCATCGTTCCCTCTACCCATTTGTCTCAATGACAGACAAAATACAATGAATGTTTACCATAGTTTTATTTATAAAGATGTATTGTCAACGTCTCAACGATTTCTGTTTTTCGTTTTTCCGGTAATATAAACATTGATTTTTTCGTTTAAATTGCTTCGTGTTGTTAACCTACATATTTAAAATTGTTTACTAAAAATAAACTGTACAAACCCATTCAAAAATAATTACAAAAATTTATCTTTTACATACGCCTAACATGGTTTTACATCACGAAATTGGATCTACCATCACGTCTAAAGTGATGTTTACGTAAGTCAGTGAACTACAATCAAGGCAATACCTTCAAATTTGGCACACATTTGAAGGCTGATATAACTTATTTATTTATACTTTGAGCGATTGAAAGTGATACAAAACGGAAATGAAACTTCGTAGAGAAATATTCATAGGCCTAGAACTTTACATAAAAAACCCGTAATATAGAATTAAGACATAATTTTATTGATATGTTTACACTATAAATTCTTAATTGGATTGTGCAACCAGTCTTTTATGGTTACTATAAATAGATTTTTGTGGAACAATCGTGCAACGTACCCTAACGATTTTTTTAGTTCATTATGTGCATAATTAATAGGTGCACATTAATCTTTAAGTATGTTCTATACAACACCTAATATGTTCCAAAAAAATTGTTTATTTATAAAGGTTGGGACATAAGTGATAAACAACTGCTTTCAGTTTTGTTTATATTGATTTTTATTTGCGTTTGATATATTTTTTTCGAACAAATCCAGAAATTTGTCTTATAATAAAAGATGTATAAATATGAATATTTAAAGACAATGTAATAGTGTGTTGATATATTATTGATGAACTGAAAAACACAAGGAATATTTTATTAACAAAAATTGTCTAAATACCTCATTGTGATGTAGGAACACAGAACACTTTGCACCAAATCGGAAAGGGCACGATTAACAACTTAAAAAGTGATCGTAAACGATTTACAAAAAGCGCATTTCAACGCCAACAGTCTTTTTTGCGAAAAAATTAGTTACCCAGCCCATAATTAGGGGTTTATTAACATTTCGGGGAAAAAAAGCACCCACAACTAAACAAGTATAAATTGTGCAGATAAAGCGCATGTTTAGCGCATTTTTGAAAAATTACAAGCATTTTTTAAACTGTCGTTCCGCTCTCTAATTCTGTTTATAATTATAGTATATTATTTTGTTAAATTTCAAAAAAACATTTTTTGATAACCATCCCATCGATTTTTGAAACCAAACGTTTGTAAAATCCCTACACCATCTACTACAACATTTATCCTAAATATTTTTTCGACCTATCCTGCGAAGGGGGGCCATTTTGAAAATCGAAATTGAAAAAATGTTTAGGACAACTGTTGTAGTAGATGGTGTAGAGATTTTAAAAACGTTTTACTTTCAAAAATCGGCGGAGTGGTTATCAAAAAATGTTTTTTTTTAATTATTGATAAATCGCTATTTTATTTGAAAAATTCAAAAATAATGGAGCTATCATTTGTAATACATAAATTGACCAAGGAATCAAAATATGCAATAATATACAGGGGGTTCTATTTAAAAAAATGCAACTTTGATATAAATTACCCCAATTGCAATTTTGTTGAAAATCTTTTGAGCTAGTAGTCGTAAGCGTCCTTCAATATGCCCCGACAAGGAATTTTAAATAAGTGCATCAATAAGCCACTCATGCAGTAAGGCCCACCCTGTATACTTACTTTGATATTGATGCATTTGCTAAATAAAAAAAACCTAGTACAAGAAATCGCAAAATCTTAGACGTTCATGAATGTTAATTATTAGGCACTATTCACTAGAACAATTTCCGATTATTTTATTATGTTAATCGCTTATTTCCCATACTTTATTAGATAAATAACACTTTTCTGCATATTAAGTGCAATCACGACTAAAACGACCTCCAATTGTTTTAATTACTATAATAAATGCTCCTTATGTCAATCAAATAAATTCCGCGAACCGATAATAGCATTCGCGCCATTAACAAAAGTTCCATTTTCTGCACCAAGCAAGTGCCGCTTTCCAAATTTACATAATTGCATTACGTTTTACGTTGCATTTCGCACGTACGTCTGCGCTAATTATTTTCGATGCATTATAAACGCCAACTGTATTTGAAAATAAATCGTCTTCCGAGAACATCCCGTGATTCTCCACGTACCTAGTTTATTATCTTTTCGGGAATGGAGTGCCTAGGATTTTCCGTTGTGTTACAGATTTATATTTCGCGTGTTATTTTAGTTGGTTCAAATTTCTAACTAGTCACCGAACGCGAGAAATCGCCCTGTATAGTGTACAATTATTATACGAAAAAATCGAAATGGTCGGAAAATCCGCTCTTGAGGTATAACGAATTATAACCGATCACGATTAGGGTTCTAGGGACTATGGTTGGTAGAAATTAATTCCTTACGTTGAGACCTTTCATTAGAGTACCATGAAGGAGAAAAATAGTTGGCCTCCACCCCTTGTTTTGATAACGGGTAAAAAAGAAGGGCGGTAGGTGGTAGAAAATAGTTCCTTTTGTTGAGACCTTTCATTAGAATACCATGAAAGATAAAATTAATTTCTTCCCTAAAACATGCGTTAAAGTCTGTATAAATTTTATTGGGGTCATAACTCATATAAGGTAAGGCTTGAGTGCCCAAACACCCCAAAGTCGGATTGAGCTGTCCTACGGACGTTTTTGTATATTTAGTGCTGTATTGTTATTGCCTGCTTCATACGGGTAATGATGTTATCATGTTTTGTTTGATCTGTAGAAGTGACAAGTAAAGAACTTTATCTATCTAAACTGATAAAAATGCATAGGCTATTGTAAAAACAATTTTATAGACCGAGCAAGTGCATTTGAATAGATTCAATTTAAGGCCCAGTGCACATATCCGAATTTTTTACGACAGCCGCAGAATTTGATTCAGGCAATGCGGTTAAATAACGAAGTCCGTATTCTGTTGATGTCTAGTATGGACTACTTAAATTATAAATTTATATTGGGTGCACTCGTTCAGCCTTCTCAAAATATTTCTCCAACAGCACATCTTTTCTTCACTCGATCAGGGTAGTCAACATCGACATTAGTGGATACTTTTTATTTCTTCGGTAAAAAGCTCAATATCGATTTCATTCGCCACATTGTAGGTAAGTAAACGGTGCCGCACGTCGAAAAATCAGATGTGTGCACCGAGCCTAAGAGATCTTTGAACTGCTTATACAGCTTATCAAAATTGTTATAACGGGTGTCTGTTTATCTCAGTCCACCTTGAATTAGATAAGAGCTTCTTGTATGCTCTGTGGCATAAATATAATTTCACATTATCCACTAATAGATAGCAATTATCTAAAATCGCGTCAACCGAAATTTTATGGAATAAATTCGAAAACATACACGATGTCTATACCTTACATATGTACTAGATTAGATAATGCCGTCTACCTCAAATTTATTTCTTTTCATAATGACGTTACCGTCCGTGCTCAGTGCGTTTTAATGTGAGTGACCTGAAAATGCACGAGTCCAATTCCGGTTACCCTGCCGAATTTAGCAGTTTTCAAAATTTTCAACGTACGCACGAAACGATTGACCAAAATGTGATAGGTGAAAATCGAGAAACCTTTGCGACTCCCTGTCGTAGGTTTCCAAACTGGGAGTACAATAAGTGCTATAGTTACTACGCCAATGGGCGGTATAACACATGCGAGTTTGTTAATGTAGTCGACATTGAGGATTTTATGTAAGTCTGTTTTGATTGATGTAATTGTAAAATTGGGGTCACGTAGTCGGCGTGTGTTCTCGCAGACACAGTGGGGGAGATTCTAAATGCAAATCGCGTATTCTCGTCAATATAACTTGGTGCTCAGTATTTAGGTTATGCTAACGAATCCTTTGCAGAGGTCCTTATCTAAATATGGCAAATAAGGAAACATCGCAGTCATTTTGTTATTTGTGCTTAGACGCAAACGTAGGGAATAGAACCAGATTTCATTAATGAAAATGAAAGCGTAAGGTGTGAGTAGTGTCATCCTCCAGATATTAAAGCTAAATCAGAATAGTAATTATCTAAATACACTGATCTAACCACCATATCATCCTCTATTAATCATAAACCTCGTCATCAACATTTAGCATATTGCATATCCTTTGCAGTCCAGAAAACTGAACCCACCTGGTATATAATGATCTTAGCCTCATATCAATCTGCTTAGACGACTGTGCCATCAAAGTCTTTCTCTTATGGTTGCTGAGAAAAATATTAAAGAAAAAATGCAAATTTCATCATTTTACCCCATCGCATCGGTTTATTTCCCTGTACCACCAAATTTTTTTACATACTTATACGTAACACCATGTATATGTATATAATTCCATGATGCCAAAAATAAATGTAGACACTTTTATTAACATTTTGTACGCCTAAATCCGGTAGTTTTTGAGTTATTGCCATAGTCTTATTTTTTATCCTAAAATTTAAATCTACATTCATTTCTGCATAAAAAAATCAGCACCTAATTTGAAAAACTTGAAAGTTTTTGACATTTTTTGATTGCAAAATTTGGAAAATCGCAGCAGCCTTGGAAACTTTCGCTTTTGAATGGACACTGCCATCCTCAAATTTTTAGAGAAAAATTGACAAATATCAAAAACTATTATTAAAATAGCGCATTAAAAAAAAAGAAAATGTATGTTTCTATTCAAAGACTTAGATGGCGCCGACTTCCGGTATTTACTGAAACGGCGCTATCTTGAAATTATTTTATTTCAATTCACGATAGTCGTGTATGGCTTTGAACAAAATTTAAAGTTCCTATTTCAACTGCAGCTTTAATAGTATATTAAGATACAAGTGTATAATCAAGTCTTTAAAGCACGCGCAACGAGTTTAAGGGCACGACGCAAAGCGGAGTGCCTTTAACGTTGCAAGTGCTTTAAAGACCAATTATACACGTGTATCTTATAGTATTTTTTATTATACCTGCAGTATAATTTAAAAATAGGAAATACAATGAAGTCATATTGACGTTATACTCGAATACATGTCTAATTAAGTGGGCTGGGTGTTCGTAATTTCACGATTGCCATGGAAATGTCACTTGACGTTTGCTTATAAAAATCATCGTCTTTGTGAATTAAACGATTTCCGTTGAAAAAGATAATACACCGTCCATTAAATCGATTGTTGTAAAATCTAAACAAACGTTGGTAGGTGTAAAATCCAACTCCAGTAAAGCCTATTATAAAGAATATGAAAAGTTGTTTCCATGGATGAATAGGAAGTTACTTACGAATACAGTCTTAAATGCATCCATAATGCTGGCATATATGAAGGAAATGTCAAAGGTATTTAAATCTTCTATCTTTTGGAGCATTCATTCAAAACTTTAAAGCAATGCTGCGATTAAAAAGTGGAACAGATTTGGAAGCATACCCTAAATTACGCGCGTTTGTGAAAGCTTCAACCAAAGGATAGATACAAAAGCCAAAGAAATGTTCTGCATTTACAGAAAGCGACCTAAGAGGAGTTTTTATTTCATCCAGATGACAGTTTCAAAAGTCATACAAGTATCGTTACTTAGCAACTTTAAAGCACGTGTGTTTTAAAGGCCCTTTTTCGCACGCATTTGAGTGTTTAAAACGGAGATTGTGATTCAGGTATAATAAAAAAATTTCTAACGAACGGACTATTTGGATACTTACTCTCTTGATTTTATTAGTTTTTACCACGGTTTTGACAGTTTGTATTTGAAATTGTATCCTATAGATCAGTAATGAAGTGCGAACCATTCGCGGATCTATGTTTATATGAATATTTAGTCATAAAATAGGCCAATGAATTAGCTCCTTTCATTATGTAAATCTGAACCTGTATCTATACAGTTAATGTAATAAAAGTAGTATTAATTGGTGTAGTTATCGATAAGATCGACATATCGGTTATTGATATTATCGATTATCGATATTGCCGATTATTGCTAGAATTGATTTTTTTTTCTTATTATGAAAATGGCCACTTGGGGCAAAAATGGTAAATTCTTGTAAAAGGACAGAATAAGAAGAATTTCCTCTCGCGCACTGTAAAATTGATCCACGAATACAAAATGGTTCAGAGAGTTGTATCGTGAAGCTCCGTGTGCGTCAGCTGCGGTTTGGTGGGTGCGTTAAGCAGCGGTGGCCTCCGACGCATTAAAAAAAACTTAATTTTAGTCATTTCCTCCCGAATGAAAATTTATCAGATGAGAGTTTATATATATATCATTTTTTTATAAATAAACATGTCAGCTGAGTGACTATATCTCGTTGGAAAGATTGTCAGCTGATGCCCTGAAGGGTGTAACCCAAGAGCCACAGAGGAGTATCTATCGCCTAATTTAAATGAACCAGCTGACAAGTTTTCCCTCGTCATATTGCTAGCTGAATTTTTGATTTACAAGCTTTCTTAGCTGATTACTGCTTAATATAATCATACAGTCACCTTGAAGACGGGGGTGAACATAAAATTTCTTATATTATATTTACCAACCATGTACAACAGCATGGAATCTAATCATTTTTATTTTAATATTAATTTACCTACTCACTACATTGATAAAACATAAAAAGCTCACCGCATACATTAAAATGCGAGTTGAAATGGATGCGATTTTTGAAAAAATGATTCGACCTACGTCATTATATTAAGCATATTGTGATGTTTGTTTGCGGTAGCGTAAATATGATGCGAACATCGCAAAAAATATCACACGGTTTTTACATAGAAAAGGTGATTTTTCAATTATTTCTACTTGAGCCATGAGAAAAGTGTTTGTGTAGCTAATGCAAAATAGTTATTTATTATGCAAGACGATAAAGGGATATTTTAACCATTGAGTAAAAGATGGTAATTCGCGAGTGGCGAGTTAGTTTTTCCCTTTATCGTCCTGTATAAGATAAAACTTTATTTTATGGCAGAAGCCATATACATACTTAAATCATTGTAAAGCTTCTGACAATTCAGAATTTAATTTAGACGTCAAAAATAGCAAGCTTAGATTCTGGCGTCCCGGTCTGTTCCATAAAAACAGGATTGTCATATGTTCTGAACGTCATTTTATGTCGTGATCCACAACCTTAGACCATATAGTACGTGGACTGGTATTAGCCATATGCTTTCAATACAAAATGGGTGGTCACGGATAGAGGTCACTGCAGTCGTGGGTATGTGAATCTCAGAGAAGACTAAAGTCGTATGAACACCGCTCGGATCGTGTAGAGTAGCTTTTATGGTAACCGCGTAGTACGGGAAGCTTTAAATACTCTTGATTATCTTCTATACGTCCACAAATAAAACTAGAGTTGCTTTTTTTTGCCATATCTGGGCAATTAATTAATTGACGTTTGTTAATTTATAGGTTGACAGCCTCAAATCGTGTGTCATCGGACAATTTCGGACAGACTCGTTTACCCTGAAACGCACATACCCAGGCAATGTCCTTGACCATATTTTAGTTACAATTAGTCCATGTACTATATGGTAGTAAGTCCACAACCCATTTGAAATAAGAATGACAGATGTCATTAGAATGCACAATCATCTGTTTTAGTTTGTCTACCCCCCATCACTTTATCTACCTTTACGGTTAAAGAGCGACGAAGCCTAGTCATTCAAACTTATTAAAGTGTCAATTTAAGAGTCTTCTTTACCTAAGCGCAACTTTTTTACATTATAGTGTATAGATGATTATAGCTGCAAGAAATAAGATGATATTCTTGCTTTGTCAACTCCTGGCTTGGTCCTTAGTTAGTTCCCACCGAGACTGTGCAGCGGCGCCACTTGTTACGCTCAAATTGTTGATTTAACGCCCGCCAAGATACAGACTTTATTTACAAAAATTATGATTTCATTTTTTGGGGTCACATTTAGAAGTAACTTATCTAAAAAACTGTCGGTTTACTTTTTCCATAAATCGTCTTGATCGAGAGTAAAAAAATAAAACAGATTAGCGCAATAATCGGTGCGAAACATCTAATTTTTAAACAATCTGTATTCAGTTGCTATAAACTTTAAAAAAAAAATAGTCCGAACATTTTGTAGATAAAGGTCTAAATTTATAAAATAGTTCTTTAAAAAAATTGTTTTTGGAAAAACAAATAGAGTTTTTATGGCGCGCGCTCTTATGGAAATTTACATTGGATGCAGTGGGTACAGAAGACTCTTAACATCTATAAAATAAACAAGTTTTAATACATTTGACTTTTTTGTGGAAGGAAATGTTTGACCATTATAACTTTCTATTATAGCGAGTATATAATATGATAAGAGTTAGCGTGTTACAATATGTGTATAATAAATTCGGTTGTAAAATGATTGCTTTGAGCTGTATACCATTCAGATAAGCACTTTACTAAACAACATTGTAACCGCATATTTGGCTGAAATTGGTGTCGGTCGTAGCTCTTGTTGATTTCGATACCAGCCATCATGATGAATAATTGGCCCTCGAACTGGCCATTCCGGAGATGAACGGCATTGGGGGGCATTGTCAATTTCGGCAAAATGCGTTCAATTTAAAGTCTGTTGTGTTAATTTAAACATAGCTTTCAACTCGAATTAAAAGACGCATCTTATGTATGATTATTGTTATATCAATAATTACAAACTGGGCACCAAGACATTTTTGGTATCCATATCACGCAAGCAATGATAAAGGCTCATTACTCATTTAAAAAAAATGCTACTAATTATGTGCTAATTTCCGT